AAATGATTATTTTGCAGTGTGGATGAGTTTTAGCAAACTAAGGAATTAAAGCATTATTAAAGGCCTACGAATTTACAGCAAAAAATGATTGTTCAAAACTTGTATTTTTCATTATCCCTCTTACTATGAGGATAAATACAACAAAGAATTCAGAATGCATTAAATGTCCAAAGAATGCATTTGTTGAATTGTCATATGGTTTTTGTTAGCTTGTATGTTTTGCAGTAGTTATCAGGATTAAAGAGAATGCAATTTTGGCAGTATGTTGAACAAAGAAAAGTCAAGGTGGTTTTATTTTTCAGCAGATATGTGCATTGTTCACGAGACCTTCGTGATTATTATGTCATTATTATATCAATTAATATAATTATTATATATATCAACATGTATTCATTATTATATCAAGATGTATTCTAATTTTGCTTTTGCATACTTTTTATAGTAAAAAATTTTCCAATTTCTAAGTCAACGGATTAACTTATCTGATAGTCCATATTCATACCGAATGAAGGACAAAACATTTAAATGAGCCAGTCCAGAATCTTGCTGTCTTTGGACATGAAGAGTAAATTATCCATTCTTTAAAAGATTAACCATGTACTTATTATTTAGGCAATCATTTTTGAAAATTTTCATTGTACATTCGGAATATACTAAACCATACAGTGCAATGTAAAACTCAATTAATAATGGTGTAGTCAACTAATGGTGCTGATATATTGTCGTAAGCCCATAAAATACTTTATCATTGTTTCCCGTGCTGCAAATTTCGAGATGTCCTCATGTTCTCAATTTAGTGATGATGACAAAAACAGCAAAAAAGGTAAATGATTTTTAAAACGCCAGTATAAGGAAAAAGACCGGCACGTTTTTTTATTATTGCGCAAGGACTGACAACAGCTTTATTGTGAAAATTCGGGTTTTCTCGGAGTTAATGGACGGAATATGTTTGATAATTTTATCTTGACCGTCAAGCATCCTGATGTTACAAATATAGTGTAAGATTGTCGATTAGTAAAAATCATATTTCAACATAATTGTTTGTTGGTATTCGTAGGTTGGTAGAAAAAATATGATGAATAAGAAATTTCGTGCGTCCTCGACAAAAATATTTGAGAAGCTGAATTCTGAAAAATCAGTGAATAAAGAATTAACGTACTAATCAACTTCTTGTACTAATCAATTAATCAGCTGAAAAGAATCTTCTAGAATTATTGATCAAAAGAAGAAACTGCTTGATAATGGAATGTATTGTCTCTTTTTTGCGATAATGTGGTAAGATTGGACTGAATAGTATAGCTGATGGTTCAATATTCTTTGAGCATATTGTCAAGTGCAAGTACAAGAAGAACTTTAATCTCTCTAAGCACAAGACTGCATCCAACAGATCCACGTTTTGAAACTGAATGTTGAATAAGAAACTGGGAATGAAAAAATTGATGTATGACCTTTCATTTCCAATTTTTCAATTAACGAGGCATAATATATCTGTGATGAATTTACCAATTATCGCTCCATGTTTTTTCAATGAGGAAACAATGAAAAGTTCATTGGAGAAGGATTTGATTAAGTCCGATAAATAAAAAATATTCTTAACCTGTCGTAATATAAGCCATTATGTCCATCAGGAAGTTTATGAAATATTTGTTGATTGTTGCTTCGACTTCTGTTATTGCTGTTAATATTTTGGCTTTTGCTTTTTATCGTCCAACTAGTGTGACATGTGATCGAAGACTACAGGCTGTTTAGGTTCGTATCGCTTCTTGATCAAAAAGATGTTAATGCCAAAGTGTTTGATTTCTAGGAAAAATCATGACGAAAATAGAATAAATTATCAGATGGATTTAATCAAATTTCATGATTTTCCTTACCTTATCCGAAGTACGATCGAATTACTTGATTATTCTTTAAATTTTTGTAAAACTATCGCTTTCAGTTTCTTCTACAACTCTTTCATACGAAATAGTGGTCATCGGGAAAAAAAAATCCCGGCATTTGTTCATCACCTTTCTCATTCTTCCATTTCGAATGCCGTTTCAATGGATTAAAACCTTTACTACATCTTCATCTCATTGGGTTCTCAGTGATCCAAATAACAAATGTTTGAGTGCGATGTTTATGATATACCATGAAGGATTATCGTCGTTCAAGAGATCGGTAATAAAATTTAGTCGACTGTTTATTCCATTAAACGATAGGATGACGATCCGTTGCACTTCTTACTTGTACATCAGGAAGTGTGGATTTCCAACTGAAGTGAGATTATCTCGTAATTAAAATATATAATTCGAATCTTTGTTCCAAAATCATAATGAGAGCTGTCCATAATGAGGTCCCTTCTGTTACTGCAACTATTGTTTAAATAATCTATCACTAAATAGCAGAAAATACTATACTGATGGTAAATACATGACACAGATGATAGTCCGAAGTAGCAATAGCTTTCCGTATTGAGCAATCATTGTTGCAAAAACAATGTTGCAAGTACAAAATATTATTGCACAGCGGCAGCTTTGTTCACCACAGCAGCTATTAGCTTATATGAGCAGTGCTGCAGCAACAATAAAAGTTCAAAAACAAACCATCACAACTAATAGTGGTTGAAGAATTTATTAGCACGAAGCTACGTCCAACAGAGCAGAAAGAAATTTCGAAGTTGAGGAACCACAAAAGATAAAAGAGAAGAAATGAAGGAAATCGTCCTTTTATAAAAAGATGCGAGAACTGGAAGAAATGAGATAAATGAGTGCAGTGCTACTAATCCATGCAAAATTCGGGATCCACACAGCCTTCAGGACCTATGCGATTAAAATCAATTTAATCACTGGGATAACATGAGCATTAATGCTAGTGTGGAATTAACTAATTTAATCATACCATAGCAGAATCTATGCAAGATTTTGCTCAAAACTTGTATTAAATTCATCTAATATTTAAGCTATAAGAACAGATGTAGTTAACAACAAAAAAGCCAACAGCGGTGACAATATCATTTCTTCATCTACCAAAATTCTACTAGTTAAAAAAATCGAAGTTATGGTCATTTCAGGTATCTATTAAAATCTGAAGAGTTAACAGCAGCGCCCTTTAACATTTATTCATTTTACTAATGCACTTAGCCAGTTAGGCTATTCTAACTTGAAGAAGAGTATAATCGGTGTATAGCTCGATTTTGTTGCTTACAAAAGAACTTAAGTTAATGGTAAGAATGATGTAACTAAAATGATGCATTAAGAAATTTTAATTTTACGGAAGAAATTACTTCCGAGATGATTTTTACATTAATTTCCATGAAATTATCTATGTAGAATGCGTATAATATTATTCAGCTTACAATTTCAAATTATTCTAGTAGGAACACTATCCACATCATGAAATTTATGAACTCCCATGAATAAGTGGGATAGGAGTAAGAAGTCCAACACTTCGATTATTTGATAACAGTCACGAGCTTGAGCCTTTAACACAAATACCTAGCGGATGGTTTACAAACTCGCAATTAACCGATTCCCGATGTCAAGAACTTTGTTATGTTTTGTTTTAAAGGTGGACAATCATACCATCAAGACTTCTAAAAGTTGCTTGTTTTTCTTATAATGTCAGCACTAAAACATCTTACTACATGATTTACCTACAGGAATCAAGCTACCTAATTCAATTCCCTCACCAACACTTGAACACCGTCCCAAGGAAGTCTGAAAGTCACCACAACGCAACAACTTTAGCGTTTAAATATTTGGTGTTCGAGATTAAGAAGCAGCACAAGCACATAAATTTCGCTTACTTCGGATATTTTACACAACATATCACCGGGTAACATGCTGGACGATCTCTCTTTGTTTTGTACATTTGTATTTTTGGTCGGACATTTCATCCAACCATTGCAACATGTGTGACAACAGTTTTAAAAATCTCGAGGTAATATTGCCCCCATTATTCATCAAACAACACTATTTATTGTACGAGTCAAGTTGAGCAAAAAAAACAAAACAACAACTTAGTGTACATCGATTAGGTCAGCTATGCATTAAAAAAAAATGATGCATTAAAAATTATAAAAGAAAACCACATAAGAAAAACTATAAAAGCCAACAAATACTATGATTTCGACTGTAGAAAGACATACGCGAAAGATTGACCGTTTCATGAGGACAAGTACACAAAAAAGTCAAAACAGTAAGACATTGGAAAGAGACCAGTGAGCAATCGATATCAATCAATCCGAAGAATTATATGCTGCCTTTCGAAGTGATGCTATTTGGAGATGAAGAGACTAGCGAATCTACGATAACGGTAAAAAAGCACCTATTTATTTACACTGACTTTTTTTTCTTAGAAGGAATGTCTTTACAAATGCAAATGTTTCTCAAACTCTGCACTGTGTTCTAAGTGAAAGTAGTTTAAGTAGTCTACTAAAGTGACTCAAAGTGACTCAAATGCATCGAGATGGTTTAAGGCGCGTTCAAATGCCAAAATGGACTATATGAGCACTGCAAGAAGCAGTGTTAAAATTTACTAATTTAAAATTGGTATTAATAATTTGAAAACGGGTGATTCGCCTCAGTTTTTAATATGATAAGCTATAAAAGAAGTGATATCTCAACTAAATTCAAATAAGTAGTAGATTACTTGTAATTACAACATATAAGCTGTAATAACTGCGAACAACGGTTGGAATCTACTTACATTGAATTTTCAAAAAAGAAATCAAATTTTAGCAAACATCATATCATTAACAGTGCTTCTAGAAAAATGTTGAAAATCCAGAAAATTTTGAAAGACAAAAGTTTGAGGCAATGAGTGCACTTCATGTTTCGAAACTGTTCTGGATGATTTAATTTGTAATTAGGAATCAAACAATGGAAATTGAAAGCATGACACGAAACAATAAAGGATAGCGAATAAATTCGCTTTGAGGTAATTGTTTTGTAGTGATCGGCCGATTTTAAACGGGGATTTCTTAAATTTAACATAATCGAAATATCCATAACCAACTCTTCCTACCCAAATTCTGGATATTCCTTACGATAATTTGATAACCACTCATCCCAGATTGTATCCGCAAAAAAGATTTGCTTGCTTATAGGAAATCCATTAACAACCATTTTTGCCAACCCAATGATGAGGGAATCTTCAATAGGAAAGTTCACACCACTGAGCTTTCTGGAAAAGAAAATTAACAATGATCTAGTAATCTTAGATTGAATTTATACAATAATTTTTAAAAACCGTGACAAACATGCAGCTTGCAAAATGTCTTAAAATACAAAGTTGATCCCTTAAATCTAAACTGATTATTAAATATACACACATCAGCACAACTCAAAAAAATAAATTTAATTAATGCGAGAAAGTAACACACAACAACTGATAATTCGCTACAAATTTACTATGTCATAAACGTGTTTGGCAATGAATAGTTATTATTGTGTGTGCAATGTCTATTTACAATAATCATTAAACCACTTACTTTAAATAATCATACAGTGGTCTGCGAAAATCTTCAGAAAAAATCAAGTTAAGATGTTTCAAACTACCCACAGTCGGTTCTGTAGTCATCAACTGATTGTGTTCCTTATTCTACAAATAAGTTTTCGCTGGTAGATATAAGTAAATGAAATAGAAACAGTGACAAAACAAAGAAGTAAAACAGGTGAAGTATATACAACGTGTTCATTAAAACCACTGCAAATTTATGAAACTCTGCTTGAACTTCGAAGAAATTTGTCAAACGCAAAAAGAAAAACAAGGAAAAAACGCTTTGTAAGCGGAACAAACCTGAAGCCGTTTGTTGAAACGCTTTATGTTGTTTTTTGCAAACCGAGTTGTATTGTTGTGCATTTGGACTGCTGAAACATAGTCTCAGTACAGCAGTGTTTTAATAAACTTTATATCGTTGTTTACATCACACGCATTCTACCAAGTTCATGGGGATGAATTTGAAGACATGCAAAACCTCATGCTCCATCTTTCCTAAATAACCTTAGCTTTATGCAGAAAGTAATCCTATCTGTTCTCAAATTAAAAATGAGACAAAGGTCATTAGAAATGCAAATTAAGATTAAAGCATGCATATTCTTAAACATTTTTGAAAAAAATGTAAATTCGGTAGGCAAGGAAACTAGCGAAAAACAAAACAAAAACAAAAACAAACCTCCCACATCTTGCTTATCGTTCATGAAATTCCTTCTTATTGCGCGTATGATATTTGATTTAAAATTTGAAAACTCCGTCTTTATGCACCTATTAACTTCACGACATCGACTTAAATAAACCTGTAAAAAACATGATCAAAAACAGTCATTAAATTTTCTACTTTGCCAAGCCATTTATGTTCGATAAGGTAGGTAGGGAATGATGAACACCAACTAATAAAACTTGATAGTATTCAAGTAAAACCTACATGGAAATTCACAAAAAAGTAAATACACACTGCGCCATATCATATAAGACCTACTAACAGTATCTTTACTCGATTACATTACACGCATTCTATCAAGCTCACAGGGATGAATTTGAAGACATGCAGAATTTCATATCTCTATCTTGTCTGAATAAACTCAGCTTTACGTATAAAATAAACCTGTAAACAACTAGAAAAAGAAAAAAAAAACCTTCTTATTGATGATTTTGAACTAAAGTTAGAGAAAAATTACCTGCAAAACATGCTCTGTTGGACTTTTATGAACTCTCAAAGCTTCAGCAACCGATAAGCCGTCGAGTAATACATATTCCAAACTTGTACGCATCTTCTGAAACTATCGGTTTACGGATGGAAAAAGTCCCGAAAATTTCTAAAAATATTCAACCACTTAGATATAAAAAAGCAGATGAATGAAATTTATGAAACATAAATAAAACGGGAAATCTGTAGCTTAAGTAAAAATGTCCACAAGCAAGAAAAGAATTTAATTAGAAATGTAATGCGTGAAAGATTGAACACCAGTATCTCGTACTTCTTGTGCTTCCTCAGATCGTCGGTACTGCTGTTCGATAAGGTAAGCAATCAGCAATTTGTAAAAGCTTTCCAAATTATTCATTATCGGTTTCGTATGTAACAACATCACATCAACATTTTGAACGAGCGGTTCAGCACCAGTCTTCGTGTCTTCTTCTGCTAAACTAGGTGAATCCATGGGAAGGTTTCGCTAAAACCCTCTCGGTAAACAACAAAAATTTTTGTTAACAAAAGAACATTTTTCGAGAACTGAGATAATGTAATATGCTATGAGAAAACTGAGTAAAAACCTACATCCACAGCCGCAACGTTCTAATGTCATCGTTGCTGAACTGCTTTTCGAGACCAGCACTCTGACAGTATACCCAGAATTTTGATTATTACTACGGTACAGATAAGCCATGATATGTCATATTTTCCTACATATTGAACACCCTTGACGGCTTCAGTGATTGCCTATTTCGACTCCGCAAAGCATAAGTGTTGTGACCACTTAGATGACAGCAAGAACAGCTTTTGTATCCTAATTTATCAATAGAAGACAAATTATACATTCATCAGAGTGCTGCTTACATTATGACTTTAAAGAATCAGAAATAATGACAGAGTACAAATAACAGCTTAAACTGGGCAGTCTAAATTTCCTGAAATATATATATATATATATATATATATACAAAGGTAGTAGAAAAGTTTGAAACCCACGTCTACTTTTTTCGTTAATTGCTCGAAATAACCATTATTCGCTGAATCAGCTGACCAAATGCTTGAATCCTGGCCATTTTCAACATTTGTAACTTTATTTGAATATGAAGTTGCAGCACTTTTTCCATTCAAGCCCTTCAAATAAGTAAATACAAATATAATGCATACATAAATAACATAAAGCGATCTGGAAGAGTTCGTTTCTTTACACCTAAACAAAACTATGGACTAAAATCTACAAAAACTGTTATAGAGAAAAAAAACTCATCCGCAGGAAAATTTTTATAAACCAGCTTATATTTTGCGAGAATATAAAAAGACAGATATCAGAAATAGCATTTTAATGATACAGCTCCGTTCAAAAAGCAATAAACCAAAGTCATAAATATAAAGAAAACATCTACAATCAGTCTTCCAAAATTTTCAAGAGAAAAAGAAACAGAAAGCTCACAGTTTTCTCTGTATTGATGAGCACTTTTACCAAACGAACATATGTACTTAACGTTGTTGGAGCCAAACTATTCCCTTTACAAGCCTCACTAAGAGTTTTCGATTTGTACAGAACTTCGAGAATTCCATTGCGCATTTTTTTACGGTCACCGCGAAAACGATACTGACGCAAGACCTAAGAAAAATTTTCACCTTCAAATTCAGTAATGAATTTACGAATTTGTAAAATACGAGAATTTTTATCCATATAATTTAAAAAATGAAGTAATCACCTTGTCTATTTTAATAGCCAGATTTTCCGGCGTTCCGGCATAGTTCTTCGTACTTAATTTGTCCAGCTTCGTATCGGAAAGAAGTTTTGTTACACCTCGAATTGAACGTGGAACTGAAAAATTCCCAAACATGTATATCATTAGTAAAATGCTAAGTTTTGAAGTTGAAATTTTAAAAAAAATTTTGAGCTATATATAAGCTACGTATAGAAACTGTAAAAACAAACAGCCATCAAATTCGTCATCACTACCATCACTTCTAGTTTTACTATGCAATGCTACAGTGTTCTTTGTTGATAGTTCTATTTTTTCAGAACTTGTAGAATTCATATTTTCAATTCGCTTTCCGCATTTAGCTCGAATTTCGGCTTCATCTGATTGAATGTGGATAGCTGGAAAGTGCATACAATATTAATCCAGTTATACATATGACATTATATTTTTTTTTTTCATTTCTCTGGTCATAAGCTTAATTTATATATCAGCAATGCGTGCTACACACAAAAACTCTACCATCATCAAATTCGTTACTATTCTTATTAAGATCACTGATTGCGCCACTCAGCAAGTATTCAGTGTGAGAGTTGTCATTGATTGATTCACCTGTTTTCGTCAACATGTTTTCGGCATTATACCGATTTTCATGCTTTGAAAAATCTTCTGCTATATTTGGATGAACAGTAGCAGCAACTAAAATCTCACTAGTTCATAAATATTGAAGTAAAATAATTTTTTTTATCACTTGATTTGAAAGGATATATTTCAGTTAACTATTACTATTACACAATAATTAGACAGCTGACTAAAAGGACTGTCTGCATGAATTTTATGAAACACATCTTCCCTTCCTTTATATTTTGAAATAACTATTGAAGATTTTAGAAAACTTCTGCCAGTACTTGTTTGAAAACTATTAGCCCGAAAGCTGCTGCAGATCTCACTTGTAAAGACTGTATCACCAGTAGAAATATTCCTTAATAAAAATTCGGTGTTTGTGAGCATCTTGTTGAAATTATTTTCTTCATCTACGTATTCCTCACTACTATTTGATAACTTTGCACCTAGCTCCGTTGATATGTCCTGAAATAAGTCCCGATTCAACCAAAATGTCGGAAAATGTCGGATTTGAAAGCTACCATTATCTCATCCAAACCTTCTATATTGTTAAAGATTTCACGCAATGAGATTTGCTTTATTACTGAGAAAAATATTACGGAATGAAGCAACCTCGATATTAGATGATGTTGGATAGGGTGATTGTCCAAGCAACACGCGGGCTTTCGTAATGTACGGTTGAAATGCAGCAACTGCTATCCCATATTTGCTGGAAACTTCTTCGACTGGAACATCTTTCGTCAAAACCTTCAAAGACATGAAATGAATGTTTTATCTAGGTAAATTTCTAAGAAATTAAAACAATCAAATAGATTTTCATTTAAAAAAACGAAAAATGCCACGAATTTAAATCCAACGGTCTTTGAAAATAATTCATCATTGTGTAGATGCAGCTGAATTAGGAAAAATAATTAATGTCGACAGTTAGAACCGACATTATTAATTAAGTTATACTGGACTTTTGATGGAGGAGTACTTCGACCACACAAGTACAATTTAATAAAAATAATAATAACAATGCTAGAAATTAAATCAAACTTCAGAAAGTGCATCGTGAAATCTTTTTTGTGCTTCCGGGTCATACGATGGAATTTTCATAAGACTTGAGATCACTATCTCAACCTCCTCCGAAACAGAACCATTGCGCTGGATACATTCATCAGCTGCTGTTTCTCTATCTAATGTTTCTAAATCCAGCAGTATGCATTAGAACAAGGGATAAATATACATTAAATTTTGTACTTAAGCAATTTTGGACAAAAATAACTAAAAAATCTCCAATAAAATCTGGTCTGAGAAAATAATTCATTCCAGAATATAATCACAGTACTGATGGTAGAACAGTCAAAATTTTTCCAACTCTAATTAAATTAAAAAGTCTTCCTGTCATTCTTCAACAAAAATTTCATGAAGGATCATAGGGATTAGGCCACTGAGGGAACACCACAGGCACACCTGGTTTATTACAAGAAACATTGGTTTTAACTTTTCTGAAATCAAACAACCTATTATTGGAAACACTGAACTAACCGGCTTGTTGCGGCAAAAAAATCTCTAATGCAGCTCGGACACGATGTACATAAGGATGCACGGTTGATGTAGGCAATTCCATAATACTTGCTGCTCCACTAACACTATATTCGCCACGAATTACCCTAAATTTATTTGATAACTTGTGAAATTTCTGGTCTGCTTGGAATATTTGAGTTAATAATTAAATATTAATTCAATCTTAAGTATGAAATTCGTAGGACGTTTTCTAAAGGAAAAAGACTAACATTGCAATAGCTTTGTGCAACGCTTCTTCCTGCAAAGCTGGGTAATGCGAAAAACGATGAACTTCATTTGCGCACTTTTCCATTTTACCTAAACGTTCATAGTTTCCCGACAAATGTGATACGTGATTGTGGTTTTCAGCAGCCTCGTCGAAATCAACTTTATCTGAAACTCAATAATCGCAGACGTCAACCCAAAATCCTCGGATACGAGTAACCTGCGTTTCTTTTAAAGGTATACAGAAGACTAGACGATATCAGTGATACTGGGAAGTTAATCCACAAAGAAACAACACGCTATTAAAAACGCACTTTTATGAAGCATTCTATCCGGAATGTCCAAATTTTGTTCAACTCGATAAACACTGGAGTTTGCAAAAGCAGGACCCAAAGTTAAAAAAGCATACATGTCCTGCAAGCAATTGATATCAAGAAAGTGATCTATAACAAAAATCATTTTTCGAGGATATGAAATTTTTTTGATTATAGAAAAACTATAAGGACAATAAAAGTTGACAACTTACATCAATATTCAGCGATTTGTTAAGTATTCCATCAATTATTCCTTCCACTGATTTTTTGGTTTTCTCATCCAGAGAAGAATTCGATATCGCAGATCTGATTATTGCCACTACTTCTTCTTTATTATATTTCGCAGTTATTGATTTCATAGTATTACTTTCAGCAGGATCATTCTGTATTGTCTGAACATAATCTTTAAAAAAATATAGAAAAAGAAATCATTAAAGACCGAACGTCTTTTTGAGAATGTTTCTTCGTGACAGAATGATGTTCTTGACACTCGAGTGAATTACTTTCATAATGACCTGGATGCTTCACTTAAAAATGTTGAAAAGTTCCGAAAAAGTACTTCTGATTGACCAGTGAGCCAGTTTGGTGACTCAAAATCCACTAGGCTTTCATTTTCTGTTGCCGTCGCCGGAGTTATTCGATGGACTTCCTTTGGCTTTCTTTTATTAGAACCCAATTTTCGAGGTGCGAAATCTGAGGGCGATAAAGTCCCTGCAAATTTACAGTCCTAAAGCAGCTTTGACATTTAAGGTAACATGCCATAACGAGGCAGTGCAATAAATTATAGCTATAAGAAATTGTCTGATTATTAAAATCTATGATAAACGAATTTCAGTTGTTAACTTTTACTGGTACATTCAACTGCATGATTACTTTTAAAGCACATACATTTTCGCTATACTCAATTAATGACGACTAAACAAGTTCTGAACTACCGTTAATGCAGGCATCACTTGCCACTACTCTACTCACAAGAACATCCAACAGTGCATCCAATCGCTTTGATTTTTTAAATTCTACTGGAAATTTTTCTTCTGTGAGCGCGTTATTCACATCAGATGAAGAAAGGGTAAGCTGAAATTCAGTTCCAAAAGTGTCGAAAGTTAAATGAGTATTAAACTGCTATGATAAAATTACAGAGCGACACTACTTAAATTTCACACAACCACCCAGATTTACTCACATTATATCCATATTTAAGACAGAAATATTTTTAGTAAAAAGTTTGAGTTTTGAATAAAAATCAATTCGATAAAAAGAGTTTCTGTAGATTTTAGTGTTTATCTTCTTAACGTAAAACTGTGAAAAAGCTTAAGAATAATAAATTTCTATGGAACCTGAAAATTCAGCACATTAAATGTTTCATAATTTTAGAATTTCAATTAAAACATGAATTCTCATTTAAACCTGAAAAAACTAAAACTTACAGGTACGGGGATCGGAATTTGTTCAGGCAGTGCATTGTCATTATCATTCATTATTTTTGCCATCCGAGCTCGCGAACGATGGAAATAAGTTTGTAAAGTTGTAAATGGTACCTGCAATGTTCAGAAATTAATTTGAAGAGATATGATTATTTTGCGTAATTTACCATATGTTCAGCAAGCAAAATAACTGTAGCTACACAAACTTGCATAAAAAGGCAATGTGAATTTCTAATTTTATTATTGCGCTTTAAAGAGAATTAGACTACAGCATGCAAACGTTGTTGAAAAATTCATATTCAAAGAAAAAAAATAAAGAAGTGGGATTGCACTTTAGAGATTAAACCTGATGTTCGATTTCAAAACCAGTATAATTTCCAAGACGATATCAAGTCTTTGCAGAGTTTTAAAATTTCGCTTATATTGAAATAATTAGCCTTATGTGCAGTAGCAGCAGCTTTCATCGTTTTTTGTCCACTTAGCGCTTCAAAAACCGCATTTCCAAGTCTTTCACGTTTGTATGGATCGACATACTGGCAGTGAGAAACTGACGTGCGTACCGCTTCCCATAGCTCTTAAAATAATTTTTCTTATAAAATAATTATCCTTATTAACTAATTTAACATTAAAAGATGATGGAAAAAGCAGGAGAATTAGAGGCGAGGGAAAAGAACTGAAGGGAGCAGTTTTTGAAGAAATTTTCAACCAAAATATATGCAAAGTAATTAATAATTACAGAACAATGTAGAAACCAACTTCGTAAATCGAACTTCCAACTTGTAGGAATTTCGACTTGTTTAAAAGGTGTAAAACTAAGAGTTTTACGACGCCTTTTTGAAATTTCACTGTTTTCTGGTTCTTCGTTTAATCGCTTCGTTGCCCTAAATAATAGTAGGAATTCAGCATTTTCTGCGGTAAGATTACAGTTCCAATATAAAATAATAGAAAAAATTATACAGAGATAAGTAAAACAGAAATGCTTGAAGCAAGTTTAAGCTGCCTTACCCCTCCCTCTTTCATTCATATCAACAACGAAGTTACAAATACTTTTTGAACTGAGCGTGCTTTAACTGAAAGAGGTATGAATAGTTTATTTCTGAAAAACCGAGTTGAAAACCAAGTTTGAGTTTTGAGGAAAACAAAAATTACCTTTTTGAAATCATCGATTTTTTTAAAATCTGTAATCGAAATCTGTATTTTGATGAGTAAAAGATAAGCTGAAATTTAGAAGTCGATTAATGTTCCAAGTTTCCGGAAAAAATCGAAGCAAAAATCGTTAGCTGATGCAAACATTTGCAATAGAAAATCGATTTAGTTTAGGAACTTTTGTCTACCAACTTCCTAATCCAAAGCGATTTTCTGTTCGCAGTAATGTAAAACTGGAAAAAAACCTTGAATGAATACAAGGATAATATCTAAACATAATATGTTAAGAAGTAAATTCCTGAATGGAAAGTTTTGAAGTTTGGGTTTAGTCGACGGATAGAACTGGAAGTTTAGCGATTGCTGGAAGTCAATCATTTGCTTCAAAGATCTATGTAAAATTACCAACAAGTTAGGCAATTAATACAAGTTTGTGATGTAATTTTTCTATTCTTGAAGGAGACGTAAACCTGTAGAATCCCTACTAAAACCCTGACTACACTAACATTTGCTTCATTACTGTGCTTTTGTTCGTTACTACCGTATCAGGCACACATCCATAGCTGAAAAGGAAAAAAAGTTGCAATACCCAAGAAGTAATCCCACAATTACAAAACATCTGGAGAAGTTCGATAATATCAAGAATCCAGAAATGAGTGTACCGTAGTTTCCGAGCGGTGCAAAGAGTGATTACAAATGAAAAAGATAAAGCATTCAGCCAGCTCATACTTAATCTCATCTTCATTGTTATGAAACTCGAAGCAAGGAGGCTATTTGAAATTATCAAGAACAGAAGACAAGATAAATTGAAAAGGAAGCGAAATTCTAGAAATACAAATCTTCAACACCGAATTGATGAATAGTGGAAAGTGGAAATCTTTTGGAGACTGAAAAAGGAACTATAGTAAAAGTGAAAGGATAAAGAGAAGATGCAATGGTGCAATCTGGTATGTCCCTATTAGAAATGTACAAGAAAAGCAGCGGATACTTTTTCAGTATAAATAACAATATTAGATGGATAACCATATAAAAACTTACAGAATAAAACCACTACTTTCGTTTATTCCAGATCAGGACTACATATTTTTGAGTGAAAAATTTTCTTGAATCATAGAAATATCAATTTCTATTACGGGTATAATTTTAAAGATGTTATGTATTTGCAACTGAAAGATGTACAAACAGAGAGGAGTAGAGAATAAAATACATCAAACTTTTACTTCTTATTTCATAATTTTTAACTCTGCTACAGAAGGAATACGTCTCCACATGTACACTTACACTCACTAGGAAACAAACTCTTGAATGACAAGTACGCGTGAAAGTGTCGACTCAGCTAACAGCTTTCGCCATTATCTAAAGAAGAAAGCACTGCTAGCAGGATCAAAAATGTACGATCTATCCTACTTTAACGTACTTCTCAACGTGTACTTACTATGATTTGCATGTTATTTCATACAACTACTATCCACTTGGAGTGCGAACATCTATTTTGTTGAGGTCCATTCGGAAATTGAAGATAAAGACATTAATGATAAGCTTTGATATGGGCAAACGAAGTGAAATTGACTTTGCGTTACGTACAAAGCGAATAGTGTATGTTTCTACCAGCGATGCACTATGAACGTTATTTGTAGAGAAAGCGCTAAAGACTTAAGATATTGTGCGTTTGTGTTGCATGTGTTGGTGTATTTGTGAATGTATGTTCTGTAGAGATGACACTTGCACATGTTGTAACGAGAGCGGTAGCGCTGAAAATAGCGATTTACTGGAATTTGTCCATGGTTGTTGTTAATGGATGGGATGGTATGAGATGTGGGAAGGGAAGTGTGAATACTAACAGGCCGACTCGATCAAATATTAAGTAAAGATCATGGCTTAAAGAACACAATATATGGACTTGGAATTACATGCTTTCAAATTTCCTATGAAAAGCATTGAAATTGGAACAGCGCTGGTATTCGCACACTGCCAACAGATATGATAAGATTAAAGCAGATAAATGAATAATTAAATAGTTGCTGGACTACATAATGATGTAGTAGACCGGTGGAAAGATGGATCACAGATATATCAATAGGTCATGGATAGATGGACGAGTAGGTGGATTAGATAAAACAATTTATATAATAACCAGTATATTATCGCTGCATTCTATTACTAGGTAGTGATAGTGGTAATAGCATGTTGTGATGACAGAGCGAAGTGCTACATAAAGTTCACGAACTTTATGTAGCATTATTTGGATTTTCGTAATGGTACAATAGATATGCTACTGCTGAATTCCAACAATCACCAACACTACATGACCATCATTATCCCCATTAACAATACTAGCAGTTTCCTGAAATTCGATTACACAGATCCCTCCCTGTATTATCGAGCTCTTTTTCACTAGTACACGTCCCAAACACTTTTACCTATACCAGTAATTCAGTTCATGATATCGTATTATCAAAAACAACAAAATGATGCATTTGATAAACGCTTTGAATGAAAAACACAAGAAGCATTAGGTGTTAACCTCTCACTACTGAGTAGATGATATCCAGTTTGTCAACATTGGATTCTCCTATAACCAAACTAAATTACTCCACAACAAGTAATAAGTAATTGTGTACAAACAAATTAAACCAAAGGCTTACTTGTACATGTTGAACTATTCGCAAGAAAAGTCAAGTAAATAAAATTTAACGAAGCACGCAAAATAGAATATGCGGGAGTGATTTGTTATCATGAAATTTGAATGGTTTAAAGAGCAGTCCCCACGTAAAACGTGACACATAATATGACACAAGACACTATCTAAACACTAAGTTTGAATGGTAGAACAGATCTTAGCAAAGCAGGATGAATGAATGTGCTCTTATTTTGTCCAAGATTATTCTCATTCCTTTCTTCACATTCCCCTATATTCTCTGACTCCGACCTTCGCCTGTACAATGTAACAACAGTATTCGAATCTGTTGTACTACCAAGAGAGCGTGGATCTTTTTTAAACAAATTTTTCTCACCTAATAGTATTCACACTACAATTACCGTATTCATATGCAATGAGCGTTAATTGCAAACAATCATCATTGTCATACAATTACTGTCATTTATCTTCACAGGAATTATTTATGACGAAAGTGAAGTTTTCGCGTCACTCTGTTCTGAAATGAGAGACGCCTCTCTTCTTTTTTCGTTCTCTCATTCTTAACTTTTTAGAGCGCTGTTGTGATCATTGTAGGCTTTAATGGCTCTTCAATGCTTGAAAGATCAGTACTATGTGCGGGCATGTTAAAATCTCACAAAGATTTAATTGATCAACTGAAGTTAAAAATGAGTTAAATACTTACGTCTCGGCAATTAATGAATTCCACAAATTGCTAATTAACGAGGAAAGATAAAAATGCTGAAAGACGAAAACCCATATGTGTATTATCACAAATAAGCTAAGCATGTCAAAGAAGAGAACGTAATCCAATATCGCTGCCATTTTTAAATCTTATATCATTTATATAAACAAAAAAAAAGAAAAAATCATTTGTAACTGTGTCGTACAATGTGAAGAGAATTTCAAAGTTCAACAATTTGATATCAGGAAGTTCATTTTTAAGATATAAACAGATACCAAACCTCCTGATCGTTATTTCCATTTCAAAGAAAAAGACAATTATTTCACAAGAAGGGAATATATAAATGATCTTTTTTGAACTTATTTACTTTTGGAAACTCTTTTGAGCTCCAGCTATACTTATTCTCATTTCTTGACTTAATGCCTTTTTTTTTTCTTAAGCATTCAAATGCAAGAAAACATAATAACGTTCTCATTCTTTATTACGCAGAATCTTTGACAGCGATTGAAAAGTAATTCATGAACCTCATAATTCTGTTAAGACTTAATCATTTTTTTTTAATTGTTAAAAGGACAAGCTTTTTCGATATGAAAATAGAGAACCACAAGTATTTTGAGAATTAGCACTAAATTTCCGCTATCAAACTGTTGAAATTTCCAAAACTTGTCTTTGCAAAATGTTTATGTTGTGTGTAACCGAATGAGAGGTTTTAGCTAGCTAAATTCATTAACTGTACGTACTAAAAACCGCAGGAAGGGTGCGGGAGAAACTGCGCTTTGCTGCTCACCAACAGCGGACTCTTGAAAATAAAAATTACTACAAAGTTTTGGAAATGATTGCAAAACAAAAAGGAAAAATAAATAAAGGATGAAATGCCGTTGCTGATACACATGAAGCCAAGAATGATGAATATTAGCGAAATAAGGCTAAATGTAGGAAGGAAGGATCGGTGGGTAGGTGCTGTCACTTTATGGCCATCAGGAATATCGGGAGACACGACATACATGTGTAAGTATAAATATGTGTATGTGCCCGATTCTTAATGTTATGGGTTTTGCTGGGCAATTGTTGAGCAGAACCAAACGAACCAATGAACCACACATCATTCTAGCAGCAGTATCGCCGCCGTCGTTGCCACCAGCACATTTAACACTGGTCGATACATTGCATTTTCAGCGATGTAGAATCTCAGCCAATCGTAGATACAGCACTAATAGAACTTAACAAGAACTAATTCAAGCGATGCTTAAAATTGTGACTGGTGATAATTGTAACGATTATTGAGTAATGATATTGAATAACAAAGTAATTAGTGGGGAGCAAGTTGTAATCAAGAAGGAGTTGGAGTAATTTTTTAACGGAGTTTGAACACAAAATACCCAAAAAAGGCTTTTGAATCAAGTCATAATTGTAGTAGAAAAAATTCGGAATGCTTCCATTATTTTGAATAAGGAGTTAGAATGGAAGTTTTAAAAATGGAAGTTTTCTTCTACAAGGTGTTTGAACGTTACAAAGCTAAATATGTCTAAAGGTTATGAAGCTTTTTTGTCATCATTTCGCACTTTATTATATATTTTGTTTATTATCTCATTTCATTCCCTTGAATTATTAGCATATTTTTCTTTCTTCAAATCTCGAATTTTTTTTTGAAAACAAAAGTTCTCAAATTAAGCATCTTATACATTAATGTATGTGGTAACGCAAATAGATAGTTGACTCACCAAGCTTTCTTTCAACTTCGTTAATAATAATGAAGATTAAATGTAAACAAACAGATATGCATTTAATTATTCATTTTACACCATTGCGAATTTGAATTAATTTTTATTTAATTCATCTAAAAAGCTCGCGGTTCCATTTAGTATAATAAACTAGGATAATTTTGAAATTCGGTATATTCCCTGAAAAATAATTTTTCCAAACACCACCTGTAGGAGAAATCATTAAATTTATTTTTGGTTTATCATCGATATATCACATCCATAAATTGTTGAGTAGGACGAAGGTAGAAAAAAAATATAGACCTTAACAATTTATGGATGTTTATGGAAGAACTTAATTAAAATTAATAATTTCGAAAATTTTTATATCTAAGGAACTAAACAATAGTCTCAAAAAGATCATTTTGAAAGTAAAATGTTTCTTTACCTTAGTTCGTTCTTTTTATCAGATAGCTTTCTTCTCCAACCCTCGATATTGATTTTAATGTTCGTTCCCCTGTCAATATTTCCAGGCCTGCAACCACTATAGCCCCTATTTGCTTTGCACAATTGGCATTTTCAACAACGTCTGTCTCCTTTTATCGCTTGTTTTTGATACCCACCTATCCTATCATCACCTGTTTATACATACCCATTTCTATTGTTCTTCTCGGCCTTGTTTTTGTTTTCAACAAATATGAGTT